GTCGCTGTTATGTGGGAGTGGGTTTCTTCTGTTGGCTTAGGTGAACAGGTTGCTGCTACAGCTAATGAAATCTGAAATGAAAATAACTATTTGGAGATAGAAAGTATCTCAGATCAGCTTGTAGTTTTTCTTTGTGTATTCTGTGGTGAAGAAGGAAAGTTAAAATACAGTTGTTTCCTTCCCACAAATAGGAATTTTCATACCCACCTATTGCAGCAAATAGAGTCAGATGAAAACTCTGTTAGCTGGGTTTGGGGAAGAGAAGGAAGACATGAGTTTCACTTAGGAGTCATGACATTGCACTAGGAATACAGAACATGGTGACTTAACAGTAATGATAGGAGATGCAGCAGTTAGTCCAGTAATTATTCCTTTGGTCGCATCCACAGCTGAATAAAAGTATTGGAGTGTTGTCCAGTCCTGTCAGATTGCTACACGGCACTTCAGACAAAAAGGATACAGAACTACTTCTGTTTGGTTCTTTTGATGCTGCACTTATGCACCAGTAAGATTTGTATTTTTCACTTGTAGATACCAGTAACAATGTTGTCCAAGATGGCAATGGAGAGAAGAAAGCAGAAAATTGTCAGTCAATGGAGAAGCAAATTGATGGCTTACCTGTGCAAATGGCTCCTGTGGTTCCTGCTGCTGTGAGAGAGGATGAGATGTTACCCAATGACTTGGACTCCTTGCCTGTTGAGTTCAATTGTTTAAGTGAAGATGGGTTGGATCACAAACCTGGTACCAATGCACTTGTTCGAGGGCCTGTGAATTACAGTGTGAGTGGAGATGACCAAAAGCGGGCCATGGAGTCTACTTCTGAATCTGTGCCAAATTCCTTTAAAATAACACCTACCATGTTGGAGGGAAGCAATGCTGACATCAAAATTAAAGTGATGAAAGAGGTTCGCAAACCTGGAAGAAGTAAGTTACTTGGGTTTCTTTACTTCAGTAGTATATATTTTATGTGGTGTGAGAGAGAGGACTTTTCCTGGAATGAAGGAGCTATTTTCAATATACACACAACTTCAGATTTTGAGTAATTTCTGGTTGCTCATAAATAAGCATTGGAGGGGCAAAAAAGGAGGAGATGCTGGGCAGGTAAGTTGAAGTTTAGATTTGTGCTTGGGAGATTGAGTGCCAAGGCACCCTGGTTTGCCCTTGAAGACAGGTTAACCGGTGTGAGAGGTGCCCTGTAAAGGCAGCACCTTTCAGAGGTTTTGGTTTTGTTACAAATGATCTAATGAGAGTGAATACTCTGCCTTAGGCTGCTCCTGTGTACACAAAGTGTACTTGTTGCTCTGTGTCCATCAAAACTCCCTTTTGCATGGCAAAGGCACATCTCTCTAAGGGTGTGCATTTTGGAATATGCTTGAAAAGGAATAGTAACAGTTCATAGCAGAGTGATTTTTTTTAAAAAAATTGTGAGACTAATTAGTGATGAAACACTAAAAGTTGCAAACTCTTAAGAACTGAAGACTAAAAGTTGACAGTCTGCAAAGTTGGCTCATCCAATTTTATACCAAATTCATGCCTAGTAAATGGTGATGCAGAGTGAAACTGTTCAGTGTGAGTCACCTGTCTTGCTGCAGAATTCAAGCTGTCATCAGAGAAAGAAGCTAAATTGTAGTGACTTGAATATGTAATTTGTTCAGAGGTCTCACCATTTGTGCTCTCTCTGCTTGCTGCATCACTCTGAGCAGACTCTTGATCACAGCACCATAAATGTATTCATACAGGGGTCAGTTATGGGAAACAATGAAACAATGCTGGTTTTAAATTTGTTTCCAATTTATTATGTCCAGTTTATTCTTTTGCAGTGGACATATTTACCTTGTACCAATGGGACAGTGTTGTGCTCACACTAAGATTTGATAATTTGTCTTTCTGGAGATGTAATGGCATCTTGTGCTTGCAGAAACAATGGCTTCAGGGCCAGATCAGGGTTTGGTGGCCCTCTGTGTGTAACTGTGATCATGGAAATGGGAGGCTTCTCTCTACCAGCCTGCATTTGCTGAGAATAAATGTTCCTACCTGCTGCTTTTTAAAGAGAACCTTAATCTTTGGTGTCACATTTGAATTCCCAGATCATCAGTGTTACTTTAAATTATTCTGTCACCTGTGTTCTGCTCTTAAAGCTAGTGCAGGTGTTTTCCTTGCCTTATGTGTTTTATCACACAGAGATACATGAAACTGAGCTTTGTTTTTCCTTCTTGCCTCTTGAGCTTTTCTGCAATTTTATCTGCAACATTCATTTTTAATACTTGGTTGAATTTTTATCTCTTTTTTTAGATTATGAAAAAATATTTTCTCTTCTTGAGGAGGTGCAAGGACCTGTGGAAATTCAGAAGTATTTCATTGAATTTGCTATCAAGGAAGCAGCAAGGTTTGTATAGATAGAAGTCATAAATTTAATATTAATTTAGATCATGATAGTAAATAATAAACTTTATCAGTGCTAGTATTCTGTTTTGATATATTTAAATTATAATTCTTTTAGTGGTCAAACTACTGTTACATTTTTATGTAGTAAATGACATTAAAGTTTAAATATGAATTAGGAAGGTAACAGGTTGTTCTTGAAGAGAACAAATAGGAGTGGCTTGGGGAGGGGCAGATGTAGTAAATTAAATTTTCTAGCCATTTTAATGCCAGAAATAAAGCAAGCTCTTCCCTACGGAAACAGAGAGCCTCTGGGAATGCGATTTGTCATGGCTGAACATTCTTGAGTTGTTCAGCTGTATTTTTGGAAGAAGAAATTTATATTGCTCTCCCTCTCTTCTGCAGGTTTAAAAAACGGGTCTTAATACAACACTTAGAGAGAATACTAGAGGAACTAGATTTCACCAGCCCACCCAACAGAGTTAATCATGTCAACAGCAGATAATGATGGACCGGCCAGAGCAATGCGGACCAGGAACGAGTTTGCTGTGCCACAGAAGAGTGCAAGAGGACGAGGCTGCTGCCCTCACCATCTCGGCAGTCAAGTGATTTTACTGTCACAGTCTGAGAAGAAGCAGTGGAGCTTTAACTTTAAGAGCCTGATTCGGCAGAAGCTGGGCTATAACCTTAAGGATTTGCTATGAAAGGTGTGGCTTTTTCCTGTGGAGGGTGCTCTTTGCTCAACAGGCGGAAGAAAATAACCATTGCTGCCCCTCCTGCAGGTGATGAGAATTTACTCATTTGAACGCTGTCATTAGACATTTACGTGCTATAGGCAGCAGGTTGCACTAAAATGGGGCACTGTCAAATGCACACACTGTCTGCATCGTGGAGAGAGCCCGTGTGTTCCCAAAAAAACCCTCCCAGAAACACCTGCACTGGTAAAATTGCATGTTGCCACCACAGAGACAAGGGTCTTGTTCCCAAGAACTGCTAGCCATGCCTTTAAACTTGAGATTCAGTGTAGATTGAGAGTAAAGAAACTGCTATTGTGTTAATGAAAGCTAAAGACAGCCCTGTGACTGTTACCACCTGATGGTCACTAAACAATCTACCTCAGACTCTCTTCTGTTTTGTCTGCAGACATTATGAAAGTGCACCTGAGGCTTCCCAGGTCCCCGACTTCAGTTCTCTTTCATCCTGTGAGGAGGACGGAGATTCTTCAGGTGGCCTTGGCACACGCTGTGCTTTGGAAGCACTAAAAGGAAACGCTTTTAAAAACGTGTATTTTAATGTTCATACAAAAGAGATTATTTTGAACAGTATTGTTACCAGATCACTAATTTGATATTTTAACTGTATAAATTTTTTGGAACATATGTATATATAAAATAAACCATTTTATTAATTTTTAAGAAGTGCTAATCTGAGGAGTCTGTAGCGGGCAGCACTGAGTTCCTCCAGTTGTCTGTTACCAGCAGACTAAGGATATTTTTGTAAAACCAGCTGAACCTGGTCTTTCACATCCTCAAACACAGCTTATGGTGTTAGCTGCAGAATGTATTTGTACCCTGGAGCAGCTGCCCAGGTGTCACTCAGCTTGGCCTCTGGGGTGCACATTTTTACTCACTTTTGAGGGCCCTAAGTTCCAGTTTACCAAACCTTTGGTTACCTGAGCTGGTATCCTCTCCTCTGTTCCTCTTAACTATTTTGTCCGAAGGCAGTTCCATAGATGACAGAACGTACAAAGAAGACGGAAGCCACCTGTATTTAATTTTTTTTTTCTCCTTAAAGCAGTACAGTACCAGTAATGTGCCAGTATGAAGTGGCTCTTGGGACGAGTGTGTATTTTCAGTTGTTTGCTCATAACCTCCTCTGATCCTTTAACAGCTTTCTTTAAAAGACAGGTTACAGTTGTGCTCGTGCTGACTTGTGCTCTTGGCCTAGTATTGGAAATATCCCAGGGATTCCAGTGGACTGGCCAGGCAGGGAAACAGATTCTCCTGGTGAGCCTGTACTTCTCTGTTCCTGCTGGTATTTTTAGTACAAACCAGCCTGTGAGACGTCTTTTCCATCTGCTCTCAAGCAGTGGCCTTGGTTTCCTTGGAAGATGCAGTTTGACCATTGGAATGGCACCAGTGAAATCCAAGAAGGAAATGAAATTCAAGCAGGAAATGAAATACAGCAGCAGCAAATCTCTGTCACAGTGGATGTGAATGAAGTGACATAGGAGAAGGCATTACTAAAATGTGCCCTGATTCTTAGAAGTAACTTTTATTCATCTGTGCAGATGAATAAAATTGAATATTTATTTGAAAACCCCACAAATACCTTGGAATGATACAAAGGAGGATTTGCTCCTTCAGATTTCACATGGCAGTTGTTTGTCACTGTGATGGACATCCCATGCCAAGTGTTGGACTCTTCTAAGGGATTTTATTTACTGAGGGTCAGATATGCTGTGCATACCTCGTTGTAAAACAGCCTGCTTAAATGCATCAAGTTGCATGTAATGTGCTATTCTTGAAATAGTAGGTGATAAGAGGAGACAGATTTCTTCCATATAGTTAATGGCTGTTTTAGTTTTCATCACTGATTCCAGAGACACTCAGTTGATCACTGTGTGTCTGAGCAAGGGCCATATTTTTCACCAGTGACCTTGGCAGTGTGCAAATCTGCTCTTTGGTGGGATGCAGTTGGCTGCCAAATCAGCTGCAGGGAGCTGGAAACTTCCATGCACTCCTTTGGAATCTTGCACCTCAGAAGCTACAAAATATTCAAGTGCAAGCAGTGGGAATTTTCCCTGACCTCACCATTATTTTATCTGAATAGATTGAATTTGAGTTAGAATATTAAGCAGCAGAAACCATACAGTGAACTGGACATGAGTCTTCATAAGGAGGAAGGAAGATGTCTTCAGGGGTTGTCAGTGCAGAGATGAAGAAAAAGGAGCAACAGCAGCTAATGAGGAGCACACACAGCCCTGAATTCCACATGGAAATGTTTCATTTAGGAAGCAGCACAAGTGGTTTAAGAAGATTCTTAAAGGAGAGAATTCCTTGTGACCAGAGACCGGTGCTGGATGTGGGTGGGACATCCTTGGACAGGCACAGTCCCCAGCTGTGCTGGCCCTGCAGGGACAGCCAGGAGAGCTGTGCTGCTGTCAGGCCTGGCCTTTCCTGGGACAGAGCACAGCCCAGCAGCAAGAGCTGTGGCACCAGGGCTGGGACCTGGGTGACACCTGAGCCACTCACAGGAGTGTCCCTCAGCAAGGGCTCAGGAGAGAGGATGGCTCCACTCATGCATCCTGGAATTGGAAGCCATTTGTGCTTTGCTCAAACTTATATTTTTGAGCTCTTGTTTATATAAGATTGAAATAATGTGGCACAGTTGAATGTTGGGAAGTAGGGAGGAAATACGGCTCTGTGCTTCCAGTACAGAGCACTGTAACAATCTGAACAAGTTTAGCATTTGCCTTCCTTGGGTTGGAAGGTTTCTGAGGTGCTTTGGAGCCTGGATACTGTGTGAGTTCTGCTGCATCTGAGGGTTTCCTGACCCTCTCTTAACTAGGCCTCCTCAGTGTGTGTTACATTTATTTTTTCCCTTGTAGACATCATCCCTGCAGCTCCCAGGCTGGTCACTGTGGCAGGTGTCTGTTGGGTGCTGCTGTTCCCAGTTTTGGGGTGCAGTGCATTTATTTCATTTATGTGTATTCTTGCCCAGGTTTAACCAGCATCAGAGAGTGATTGTCATCTTCCAAAATAGCAGCTGCAGAGGCTGTTACTGTGCTGTGCTTGACTGTGCTGTGGTCAAGCAATTTTATGGCTCCCTTTGCAGGAAACTGTAAAAAAAAAACCAAACCTCAAACCTATTTTTTGGGGGTTTTTTTCTCCATCTGGTAATTTTCTTCTTCTAAACTGCCTGGCTGACATGGCAGCAGCATAGGCTGTTGAGTTTCATTTCTTTTGGTCTGTTCTTTAGTGTCTACTAAGAAACTTCTGATGGAAAAATACAAGGAATGCATTACCTAACAGGAACAAACGGTTAAAAAAACCTGTGAAGCTCAATTACAGTGTTTCACACCAGCAACATGGCAACGTCACACCTTTAGCAAATGGACTTGAGAGTGCTTGTCTTGAGAATGTGCAACCTAGTTAAGCAGAAAACAAGGCCAAAGACACTTGAGATCTGGCAGACAGGAGGTTTGGCAGAGATCTGGAGGAAGGATGTTAGTCACTGGAATTAAAAGGAGCTGCTGCTTGCAGGTCTGCAAAAACAAGTTGAAGTCTATCCTAAGTGGAAAAGGAAGAAACTGGAGAAGAAGAATGCCTTGGGATTTAGCAAAAATCTGGCCTGCAGGAATTGTTAAGCTGTATTCTAAATCTGAATCTTGAGGTTATTTCAAGGATAATGGACTAAAAATGTTGAACTTTCCTGAAATTATCCATTTAGTTGAGCTGTAGCCTGGCTTGTTGTTTCATCCCTGAAAAACTGTTAGCTTGGCTTTGGCATTGGTGTTTTTCTTGTCTCAGTCTGTGATGTGGTGTTGTCTCTTGGTAGTGGCTAAAGCAGTGTGGCAGGGGAGCCCTGTGGTTGTCCATGGAGCTGGAAATGCAGCCAGGGGCTGCAAAAGGCAGGTGCAGCTTGTGTGCTGTGGGAGGTGGTTCAGCTTCACCTCCTCCATGTCAGAACCTTCTTACAAAAGTGCACAAGATGCTTTTCAGGGCTGGGAGCACAGATGTGATGCCTTGAGCAGCTGATTACTCAGAGTTCAAAGGATGGATGTGCCAAGGAAGGAGTTAAATTGTTGTACAGACTTGTGGTGAATGCTGGAGGATGTTTCCATAGGCAGTGGAAGAACTGAGCTGCACATGCCTTCACCCACACAGCTCTGCCAGGAATGGGCACTGCTGGTACCATGTAAGGAAAATTGCCCTTCACCAGGAGCTGGGAAGTGCTCAAAGCAGCTGCATATTTCTTCAGATTTTGAGCTCAAGATGAAGCTCTCAAACAATTTATATTGAAGTCCAGAAGAATAGTTTGGCCTGGGAAAGGTGGTGGAATGAAAACCTCAGATGAGATTTTTTCTGGAGATCTGATTTTTTGAGAGCCTGGGGAAGTTTTATCTTCACATCTGCAGTGGGAATTGGATGGCTGTTTCCTAGTCCTGGACCACGTCCAGCTGCAGTGGAAGTAGCTGGATCCTTGGCACTTGTGTGTGCTTGCTGTCATCTCCATCACTGTCACTCCTCTAATGCAAACAGTCTTGCATAATGTCCCTTCAAATATCGGACACCTCTGGCAATTTGCTGAACCCCAGTGCTCCAGTTGCCACTGCTGAGCAGCTGGTAGGAGGGACAGGGCTTTTTGGGGATGATCCCCATGGTGTGTGCTCATTTACAAAGTACTTAGAGCAGAGCCCTGCAGGATGCTGAGCAGGAGGAGAGGGTTATAAAGCATTTTGGTAGTTGTCAGGGCAAAGCTCTTTTTGCATGGTCAGCCTGTTTCCTATCTTTTACTCCAGAGCAGGTGTATATTTTAATGTTAAATTGTATTTGTAAATATTTAATGTGTAGAATATATCAGAGAGGTTTTGTAAAGGATGGAGTTGGGAGATCTCCCCCCTTGCTTCATCTTGCAGCTGTGACCATGTGCTCGTGCAGAGGTGGCCCTTGCAGAGAGGGATGCTGGGCTGTGCTCAGCTTTTCCATCGGGAGGGACTGCTCTGGAACCACCCCAGGTCTTGGATCAGTGGCAGTAGGCAAATGGAGCTGATTTTTGCTGGGTTGTGGAAATGCCCTTGCTGTTCCTTGAGGTGGTGGCAGCAGTGTGAGCAGTTCCTGCTGAGGAGGCTGTTGGGTACTGGGGGTTTGAGCAGCCACAGCTCTGCTCAGGGCACACTGCTCTGGTGGCTGCCTGATCCCTTGGCACTGGGTGTCTCAGGGATCAAGGGTGCTTTCCTAAGTAGGACAGAAATAAAAATGAGCCCTGTTCCCCAAGACTAGAAAGTGATTAAAAAAAAGGCATTTTGCTGATTGCAGATGATTGTAATGCAGCTGTTCGACAGTGACATCCCAGCCATGGAAAAATAACATTGATTCTTTGAGCTGTTTTCCAGTCTGCACAGCATATTAAAACCCTTCATGCACAGCTGGCACATTTAACTTTGATTATGTTGTTGAAGTGACTGATCTGAGAGCAGCCTGGATCCCAGTTGCTTGCAGAATTTGAAAATAAGATTGTTCCAATTCATCTGCAGTTGGTTATTTTGGAAGAGAGACAAGCTATCTTGAGCACTTTTAGGGCTGCTAATTAAGGTCTTGTGGCTCTCCTCTGAGAGTGCCTTTAAAGATGGATGGAGGGACTTACCCAAGGTCATATAGTGTGTCACTAACAAAGATGATTATAAAATCTGTGCCCTAATTTGGTC